TGTTTTCATTTAAAACTGTATATGGAATTGCATGATTCCATTTATATGAAGTGTCTAGAATAGGCAAATACATAGAAACTGTACTAGGGATTGGGGGAGGAAAGAATGGGAAGTGACCGCTTATGGGTAGGGAATTTCATTTTGCAGTGATAAGAATGCTCTGGAATTAAATGGTGGTGATAGTTACACACTGTGGATATTAAAACCAAGAATTGTACAATTTAAAAGAGAATTTTATATTATGTAAATTACATCTCAATGAAGTTGTATAATAAAACTCTATGTGAAAACTTCAGCATGTAAAATCTTCCCAGTATTCTAAGGTTAAAGGACAGATTCTTATAAAAAAAATCAAGAAGCCTTCATTTGTGCTGTTATTCAAATATATCCGTTTCATTTTCATTTTTCTTGGTTCCAATAAGTTCAGAGAACTTTGGCTCAAAGAGGCTCTGCTGTAAAAAATTTTTTATAATTATGTATCATAGAGCACTATCATTCATTTTTTGGTAGAGGCTACTGTGAAAACTGAAATTTTCAGTTTTTCTTATGAAGCCATCTACTTTTCAGTTATATTAATTTTATTCAATGCATTATTCATGATTCAGATGACATATATTGCAAGAGTAAAAATATAAAAACTGTAAAATTCTTTAACATGTGGATGTAGTTCTCTGGAGTCAATATGTTTTTCCTGGTAAAGTTCTAGCCATATGAAGATTTACTAAGCACAATACCTAGTTAAGGCAGAGGAGATGCAAATTCATTTCTGCAATTAAGTATCTTTTCAGTAAAATAGCTATTATAATCTATGAAAAATACAGCTTTTTAAATAAAGTTGTATTTGTTAATGAAAAAAAAATAGACTTTGCCCATGCTAAATTGATCCTCTTGATAAAATCTCCTCTCTTAACTGAGTTATTTTTGTTTTTAAATAAATATTTACTAGGAAAGATAACAAAACAGAATCACTCCAGGCTTACTGTAACTTTTCTTTTTAATAAGATAGGAAGTTTTTGATTACATACTTCCCTCTATGCTATTAATAATCTACTTGAGTGTTCTTAAACTAATTTTATGAATACTTTATTTCTGAAAGTTTTTATTATGCATACATATTATAATACTTCTATTAAACATCTAAAAGGCTGAAGAACACATAATTAGTGAAAAATTTTGTGTAGAAAATATTACTATGAGCATATAAAACATAAATATTTTATATTTAAAAAGGCATATTTTTAATCAAAACCTTTTTATGTATATATCCCATAAATGCCCTGAATATAACTAGTCCATAAAAACAGGTCTGCTTTGGGGTGCCTAGTTGGCTTAGGCAAGAGCCATGTCACCCTTGATCTTGGGGTCATGGGTTCGAATCCCACTTTCGACGTGGAGATTGCTTAAATAAATAAACTTTTAAAAAACCCTAACAGAGGGCACCTGGGTGGCTCAGTTGGTTAAGCAACTGCCTTCAGCTCAGGTCATGATCCTGGAGTCCCGGGATCGAGTCCCGCATCAGGCTCACAGCTCCACGGGGAGTCTGCTTCTCCCTCTGACCTTCTCCTTGCTCATGGTCTCTCTCACTGTCTCTCTCTCTCTCAAATAAATAAATAAAATGTTAAAAAAAAAAAAAACCCTAACAGAAAAAAACAAAACAAAACAAAAAAACCCAAACAGGGGCGCCTGGGTGGCTCAGTGTGTTAAAGCCTCTGCCTTCGACTTAGGTCATGATCTCGGGGTCCTGGGATCAAGCCCCACATTAGGCTCTCTGCTCAGCGGGAGCCTGCTTCCTCCTCTCTCTCTCTCTCTCTGCCTGCCTTTCTGCCTACTTGTAATCTCTGTCTGTCAAATGAAGAAATAAAATCTTAAAAAAAAATTAAAAAACCCAAACAGGTTTACTTTAGATAATATTTTTGGGTGTTTATCTACAGTATTGGAAGGATTTGGTTTCAGAATACTATTATTTACAATTTATAGTGGGATCACTATAAGATACTTTTGTGTGTCTTTGTTAGGATAGCACCGGTTTTGTTTTAACGAACTACCTCCGGTTCATTCTATATTATTTCTCAAACTCTCATTCAGTGAAGTCTACATCTAAGTAGTACCAATTTTAATTTTCAGTCTTCTTCAGATGTGCAATATTATATGAAGCCTAATAGTAAGTGCAGCAATTTTTAAAGAAGAGTGAGTAACAACTTCAAGTTTTCAGATTCATTTTTAATTTTCTAAATGCTAACTGAGGCTCAAAAGAGAAGTTTGGAAAGAACTGAACAGAACCATTGCTACAAAGTATCACACATATTAAATGGATAACATTCAGAATTGTTTTTATATGGCAAGTCAATTGACTTGTTGCAATATTGAAACACTGAAGTGTTGACTGACTAATCTTACTGATTTTAGTCCTGACTTTTCAAGGGAAACTTTGTATTAAAATTTCACTTTTTTGGGGGGCACTGTTTTTGCTTCATCCCTTTCATCCAGTGCTTATTCTAAAGGACTACTGCTGTGCTGTCAGAAGACTGGGAGTTTCAAGTGCTTTTAGAAGAACATACATTCTATTAGATGATAAAGGGGACACATTTCAAAGATATTACTATTTAAATCATCTTCATGGATATAGAAACCTCAGCCATGAAGTTCACACATGAATAATAAATCAAAGGGAAAGACTTCTCAATATAATCTCAGAGGCTAAGAAATTTGTCACATAAATTTTTTGGCATGATTTAAAACCCATTTCTTTTCTTTTCTTTTTTTTTTGTTCTTTTTAAAGGTGAAAACTGTCTTTATCTTTAATAGAGAGGATAAAGCTATAAAAGACTATGGACTTTAGAGTGGCCTTTATTTTCTTCAAATAATTTTCAATTTCTTAAGCTGTGATTTCCTGTTGAAGTTTATTCAAATTTTTGGAGTTCCTTTCTAGGAGATAACAAAAATAGTTTTTCCTGTTAAGGGTTCATCTTAGATTGTGAATAATTTTTTAAAAAAGATTTTATTTATTTATTTGAGAAAGAGAGAGACAGTGAGAGCAGGAACACAAGCAGGGGGAGTGGGAGAAGGAGAAGCAGGCTTCTTGCCAAGCAGGGAGCCCGATGCGGGGCTGGATCCCAGGACCCCGGGATCATGACCCGAGCTGAAGGCAGACACTAACGAGTGAGCCACCCAGGCACCCCTGTGAATAACTTTTCTTATAATAGCTTATGATTTGTAGACTTTACTATTTAAAAATGTTTTTAAAAATTCCACTTAGTTAACATATATGATATTATTAGTTTCACAGATAGAACTTAATGATTCATCAATTTCATATAACACCCAGTGCTTATTACATCAAGGGCCCTCCTTAATGCCCATCACCCATTTACCCCATCCTCTCACCTACTTCTCCTCCAGTAACCCTCAGTTTGTTTCCTAAAGTTAAAAGTCTCTTGTGTTTTGCCTCCCTCTGTTTTCATCTTATTTTTTTATTCCCTTCCCCTATGTTCATCAGTTTTGTTTCTTAAATTCCACATATGAGTGAAATCATATATTTGTCTTTCTCTGACTTATTTCCCTTAGCATAATACCCTCTAGTTCCACCCATGTCATTGCAAATGGAAGGATTTCATTCTTTTGGGTGTGTGAGTAATATTCCATTGTATGTGTATACATATACCACATCTTCTTTATCCATTCATCTGTTGATGGGCATGGGGGTTATTGTGGACATTGCTTCTATAAACATTGAGGCGCATGTGGCCTTTCAAGAATCACTATGTTTGTACCCTTTGGATAAATATCTAGTAGTGCAATTGCTGGGTTGTAGGGTAGCTCTATTTTGAACTTTTTGAGGAACCTTCATACTATTTTCCAGAGTGTCTCTGTCACTTTGCATTCCCACCAACAGTGTAAGAGTATTCCCCTTTCTCTGCATCCTTGCCAACATCTATTGTTTCCAGAGTTGTTCATTTTAGTTCATTTAGTTGATTTTTAGTTAGAACTAAATTTTAGTTCATTTAGTTCATTCAGTTCATTTAGTTGAAAAATTATTGTAAAAATTATTGAAAAAATTATTCACAATCTAAGATGAACCCTTAACAGGAAAAACTATTTATTTTTGTTATTTCCTGGAAAGGAACTCCAAAAATTTGAATAAACTTCCACAGGAAATCACAGCTTAAGATTAAAATTTTCTTTAAAAAAAAAAAAGTTTATGGATTACTGGAAAAAGTGTTATACTTTACTATTAAAAAGTATAACACTTTTTCCAGTAATCCATAAACTTTTTTTTTTGAAAAAGAAAATTTTAATTAGTCAAGGGAGCCAAAATTAGTATTTTGATGTTTAGCATATCACAGGGCTAAGAAAATAGAGCAGATTTAGAAGATAAAAACAAATGTTATGAAAGCCATTTTTCCTATTCTTTAATTTCTTTCATGAAAAAGTCTAATTTTTCTTCCTAATTCATCTAAATTTAGAACACTGAGATCTTGGAACTATAAGAGTAGCGATGATAAGAATGAGTTATTAAGAACTGTGCTGGATTTTACATACATTAATTCAACTCTGCCAACAACTTTGCTAGGAAGGTTTTATTATTTTTCTTTTACAAATAAGGAAACTAAGGTTTAAGGAGATTTAATGAATGACCCATAAATAAGTAGCAAAAGCCGTATATGAAGCCTAACACCAAAGCTTGGTAAACTTTCAAAAGCCACTTTCATTATTACCGAGATTTATTGAGTTATTTATAAAGAGCCAAGCAATAAAAAATTGGCAGAATTAACAATTTGGTGTATAGAGATATGAGAACTCAATATTCTTCCAGTTAAAGGATAAATAGAAATGTCTAATGTAAAAATTCTACTAAACTCTTTATTTTTCAAAAATAGTATTGTACTTTTATAAAATCATGCTGACTTGATGAGCATACTTTCAAAGAGTCTACAAAAGTTTTGTTTCCTTCAGTTCAATTTCAGCATTCACTGATGAATAAGTGAGACTTGGAGCAGAGAATGGCAAATTCTTATGTCACTACATCTGATGGTTACTGTTTTGCTGAACCAGTGCAGTACTATGGTATGTAACAAAAAGCTACTGTATAATGGTTGATAAAACACTTCTTGTGTGACATTATGGTTAATTACAGAGGTTTTTTTTTTTTTTTTTAAGAAACTAACAAGCAAACCAAAGAGTTTAAATTGTTCCCTACAAGAGGAATTAAAATAAAAACTTAAAAAAATCATTCTCTTACAAGAGAATATAATTAATTTCAAAAAAATCAGTAACTCTAAAATGTTGCAAGCCAGAATCAAATGTAAAGAGAGAAAAGCCTGATAGTCTAAAATTGTATTTGATTTTTAAAATTTGAATCAACATGCAAATTAGAAGTTATTTTTAGGGTTTAGCTGAAGCTAGTTCACATGCAATTCAGTAAATGTGGCTCAGAGTAGTTATTTCATATACTTGAAATTTTCATCTTAATATAAGATTTTTATCAAAGGGAAAGAAATAGAAACAGAATGCAGGATACAAAAGGAATTTTCTCCAAAAAGACTAAGGCCATAAGATAAACTTAATTTAATTTAATTTTTTAATCTTTAATCTTTTGTTTTTTGTGGGTTTAAAAATTATTTATTAATTAATTTATTATTTATATTGTTAGGGTCCGTGATCAAAGGAGCGAGACTGATACAAAGCAAAGGTCAAGCAAAGCTTTATTTCGCGCCAGCACAGAGAATCAAACCGACCGGTCGGGGCCACCTCTGGGCCGCCTCTTACAGAGAGAGTGACCCCTCCCAGCCTCACAGACTAACTTTTAAAGGGCAATGGCCAGGTGGTTGAGCCTGGCCACACACAGGTGGCCAATGAGATTGTAACACACAGAGAAAGTTGTATAGTCATGCTAGGTCACACACGGGTGGCCAATTGAATTACAATTCACCCTATAGTAGCTATTTGGACTAGCCTATCACCTTGGTCAGAATTGGCGCCCAAAAGGCGCCCAAAAGGTGGGGCCCACATTTTTTTAGGGAGATAGTGATTGGATGTCTCCACCTGGCCTGACGCGCCCTTGTATTTGGGCTCTGTTATAAGGGACTGGTCAACCATATTTTACTTGTTTCCCGGACTTGCTTTTAAGTAAGTTCCCCTGGCGGGGTGGGGGGGGGTAGGGTCAGTTTAAGTTTTACTGCATAAACAACAAAACCACTGTTAACTGAGACGGAATAGCTCTGGCTAAATAGGCACTTACAATATTATTTATTAAGTTTTTGAAAATTTAAATTCAATTAATTAACATATAATGTATTATTGGTTTCAGAGGTAGAGGTCAATGATTCATCAGTCTTATACCCAGTGCTCATTACATCACATGCCCTCCTTAATGCCCATTATATAAATTTAAATTTAAATGCCGTTTTCTTTTAGGGTTAAGGTAAAGGTTAGGGCTTCAATTCTAATTTCCATGGTAATGGAACATCAGCTAGTATTATGCAGTCTTTTGACACTCATTCAAGAAAGGCCCTCTTTAATAAAAAAAAGTTACATTGTTTTTACTGATAATCTTTCTTTTTATATTAGGTTATTATTAGTATTTATTCAACACTTAGCATTAGAGTGAATGCTATAAGATTGCAAGTGATTTATGTGAGTTAATAAAAATTACACTGTTTACCAATCTTGGTGGTATAATTTTGAGGTTAAAAGTAAGTTTAATCACCTGACTCAGCATCAGGAAAAGTACAAATATTACTAGTTACAGATATAGATATTCAGTATTCCTGGGTCCTTTTGGAGCCAATTTTCTGGATTTAGACTTAGAAATTTTCCTGAAAGCAGAAGGTAAGTTGGTGGCACCTGGGTGGCTCAGTTTGGTTAGGAGGCTGGCTCTTGATTTTGGTGCAGACCATGATCTCAGTGATGAAGTTTTAGAATAAAAGGGAGGTTTAGTGGGGTGAGGTCCAGAGCCAATGACCAAGAAAGAATTCTTGAGACATCTTTGGTTCAAAATGGTGGTTTATTAAAGCAGAGGGACAGGACCGGTGGGCAGAAAGAGCTGCTACCTGGGGTTGTGAGGAGCGGTCCATTATATGACTTACAAGTTGGGAGGGGGTCAGGGATGGCGTAAGTCTCCAAGGAATTTTGTAAGCAAGATTTCTAGGACCTTGAGGGGCTAGATATTGTTGGGGAAAAAGGTTATTCATTACCAGTAATAAAGCCTTTGTTGGTGAGAACCTTTAGATGTGTATCAGTGGTCATATGCTTGGAGAGTTTTGAGATAAAGGAAGTTTTCAAAGGAATTGTTAAAGTAGACTTCAGGATCCTGGTTGAGGGTGGAGGTCCTCAGGCTAGGATTGCCCTTTGCCCTTAGCAAAGCGTTAAGGTGGAGGTAGTTGAGTCCCTAGAGGAATGTCACTCTGCCTGTTTCGAGGGCTTGTCAGTGGGTAAGGAAATTTAATAATTTTTTCTTCTGCCTGTTTCCCACATCATCAGGGTCCAGGAATCAAGTGGGGAGTTTGCCCAAGGATTCTCTCTCCTTCTCCCTCTGCCCCTCCCCCAGCTCGCGCATGTGCGCACTCTCTCTGAAATAAATAGATAAATCTTTTTTTTTTTTTAAAGATTTTATTTATTTATTTGACAGAGAGAGATCACAAGTAGACAGAGAGGCAGGCAGAGAGAGGAAGGGAAGCCGGCTCCCTGCTGAGCAGAGAGCCCGATGCGGGACTCGATCCCGGGACCCTGAGATCATGACCTGAGCCGAAGGCAGCGGCTTAACCCACTGAGCCACCCAGGCGCCCCAATAGATAAATCTTAAAAAAGAAAGTAAGTTGGTGTTTGGAAGCTTCTGATAATTATAATGATATTCATTAAGCATTAGTTTATATTTTATATATGCTTTTGCATACCATATTTTGTTTCATCCTTATAGTAACCTGGTAAAGCAGGCAAATTTATCCCCAGATAATTGATAGTTAGAATTGTTAGTCAACAAAATACAAAAGAAACTAGTAATTTAAATCAGGTGTACAAATGGCAAAGGACAGTGTTAAGGTATATTTAATGGGGAGTTCAAACAAAAACATATATATATGTATATGTATATATATACATACATATATTTGCTTGAAATAACCAAGTAAAATTGTATTTTAGTTTGATTTTTTTTGGGGGGTGGGATAATTTATTAATTCATGTCTTTACTGACCTGACTGTACTGCAAATCATTTTATCCATACAAGGGAAATGCAAAGGATGGGGAAAGCCTTCTTTCCTTCCAAATAAGGGGAAATACACATTTCTATTTAAGAAGGGAGACTGGATTGATATGTAAGCCATTAGCAACAGACTGGCCTTTTCCCCAGCCCCAGAGCAACCTCTGCCTACCCCTGGAATGGCAGCACTTATGAAGCAGGGTAAATCAGTTTACTGCCTGTTCCTTGCTCCTGGTGCTGGCCAGCAAGTCCTTGCGACGCAGTGGACATGTTGAACTCATTGTTGAGCATACAGCTCTTTGACATTTGAAAATAATTATGGAATTTTGACTTTTTACCGTTTGTTCTTTTTTTTTTTTTTTTTTTACTATTAAAACAACTAGATATTCTGCCAGAGCAAATCAACTATCAGCTGCACGACACTGATTGTCAAGAATCAGCTTATTGCCAGTACTCTACGGTCCAGTTTCCAACAGCTCTGCAGTCCCAATCTTTACAAAGTCATTTCAACACTTACAGCTTGGATCCACAGTTTGGTGGTGGAGAGTGTGGATTTGGTTCCTATGAACTAAATAAACCCACTTATGTGGTTGACCATGATGCTGAAGATGGATATTCTGGAATAAAAAGGTCCAGACTAACTCACTCTTCTATTCGGATTAAGCGGCAGGAAGAACTCTGTGTAGTTTGTGGTGATAAAGCATCAGGATATCATTATAATGCACTTACTTGCGAAGGTTGCAAGGGTAAGGAAGAAGTCAAAACCAAACTGAAGTCCTAGTGTTCACTGAAGAGTCATGGAAGTTTAGGCGTGTAAGAATACTCTTATTTTTCAGAGTGTGAAAAATAAAACCAGAGAGAGCCATTGATACATTTAAAGGTGGTCAATCCATGCCTAGAAGACATGAAAATAGAATGTAATAGCGTTGATTTAGTTTTCATTTTTGATGAAAACTTTTCCATTTAAATAGAAAATTCAGTATTTATGCAGCAGAAGGTTTCTGTGGTTTTAGAGGAATCGGATATTGGAATAGAAAATGATTTTTAGGGGCTCTTGGGTGGCTCCATTGGTTGGGCGACTGGCCCTTGGTTTTGGCTCAGGTTGTGATCTCTGGTGGTGGGATCAAGCCTGGAGTGGGACGCTCTGCGCTTGGCTCAGAGTCTGCTTGTCCCTCTCCCTCCCCCTCTGCCCCTTCCCCTCCACCCCTCCTCTTGCTCCAGCACATAGCGTTCTATCTTTGTCAAATAAATAAATAAATTAATAAATAAAATCTTTTAGAAAAAAAGATTTTAAAAAATATCTCAATGTTAACTGCTCCATCTTCTCATGTGGTTGATATAATTCATGCATTAGAAGGGAATTTGAATTAAATGACTTCTATGATGCTATTTTAATTTCTTTGAATGCTTTTCTGGAAACAAATGGGAGGCTTGCAAGTGAAGATCATAATTGACAATGAAATTTTCAAAGAGTGAAAATAGTCCTTGATGAAGTTTTGAGTCCTTGATGAAGTTTTTGAAACACTCCTGCATTATTTTTATTTACAATTGCAATGTTGGGACAGAACCTGGAAATGATTAGGCCAATGCATCTTGGTAAGCATGTCTGTTTAGAAGTTCAGGGTGAAGATTTACTGTCAGAATCTCACAACTCGCCCCTCACAAAGAATAGCCCAATGAAGACTGTGGGAAATTAGGTACCAGCTTTATGAACAGAATAGCTGGGCAAGTATTTGCTTATTCTTTTTTTTTTTTAAGATTTTATTTATTTATTTGACAGAGAGAGATCACAAGTAGACAGAGAGGCAGACAGAGAGAGGGAGGGAAGCAGGCTCCCCGCTGAGCAGAGAGCCCGATGCGGGACTCGATCCCAGGACCCCGAGATCACGACCCGAGCCGAAGGCAGCGGCTGAACCCACTGAGCCACCCAGGCGCCCAGTATTTGCTTATTCTTAAAAGGCAGGGTCTTGCTGTTCAAACTAGATGGAAGAAGGGGCCCCCAGGTTAAGCGCCTCCTGTCCTCACCTCAAGTCATGATCCCAGCATCCTGGGATCCAGCCCCCACATCACATCAAGCTCTCTGCTCAGTGGTGAACCTGCTTCTCCCTCTCCTGACCCTCACTCATGTTTATCCTCTCTCTTTACTGCTCTTTCTCTCTCTCTTAAATAAATAAATAAATCTTAAAAAAAAAACTAGATGGAAGATGTGGCATGGTTCTAGAAACTTAAGCTGAAATTTCTATTTCCTTTGCTGAATCTAAATCACAGAACTCTCAAGTGTGGTCTACAGAAAAAAAGGGTACGACAGGTCTCTAAGAGGGGCATTGACAAAGATTGTCAACTTTACTGCTTGGAATGGATTCAGAGGAAGATAGCAGAGGTTACTGCGTAGGAATGGGAAATGAAAGAGGAAATGGGAAGGGGGGCTGCTATGCATGGATTTAGGAAGTGAAAAGGATAATATAGACACCTCCACCAAAACACACACACACAGACACAGACACATACACACATACACACACACACCACAGCCTATTCAATGTCTCAGACCAAATAACCTAAAAATGTTTTCTAACGTGGGTGAGTGCTAAAAAAGGAAGAAAGATAGAGAAGTAAGTTTCAAAGAATATCTTTTCCTATTTGTATGGTTGAGGTGGTAATATGAGGAGAAAAGAAAAGAGGTTTTCCTTATAGTTTTACAGGAGCGTATATTCTTTTTTTTTTTCTCTTTAGCTCTGTGATTTTTTAAAAATAATTTTTAAAATTTTTTATAAACATATATTATTAGCCCCAGGGTACAGGTCTGTGAATCGCCAGGTTTACACACTTCACAGCACTCACCATAGCACATACCCTCCCCAATGTCTATAACCCCACCACCCTTTCCCTACAGCCCTCCCCCCGGCAACCCTCAGTTTGTTTTGTGACATTAAGAGTCTCTTATGGTTTGTCTCCCTCCCAATCCCATCTTGTTTCATTTATTCTTTTCCTACCCCTCAAACCCCCCACATTGCATCTCCACTTCCTCTTATCAGGGAGATCATATGATAGTTGTCTTTCTCCAATTGACTTATTTCGAGGAGCGTATATTCTTTCAAGGGCACCTTGAGAGACGCTTCATGGAATCCTGATATTCTGTACAACATAGTTGTAAAAATACTTTTAGATGATATATTATAGCCATATTAAAATAGAAAGTTATCTTAATTGATGGAACTATTTTGTTTAATTTCTAGATGTGATTATTGAAAGAAACAACCTTGGAATAGAAGATATCAATCATGAAGGAATATAAACATATATTAAATTGAATCTTACTGATGGAAAAAAGCATTTTATTGAAATAATTTAGTTATTTTGATTACTTAACTCTACTAGGAAGATATATATTTAAAAAATGGGTCTCCTGGGTGGTTCAGTCAGTTAAGCATCTGTCTTTGGCTCAGGTCATGATCTCAGGGTCCCGGAAGCAAACCCCACATTGAGCCCCACATCAAGCCCCACATCAGGCTCCCTGCTCTGTGGGGAGTCTGCTTCTCCCTCTCCCTATGCCTACCTGCTTGTGCTCTCTTGCTCCCTCTGTGTCAAATAAGTAAAATCTTAAACAAACAAAACCCTAAAAATACTTAATAGTGAAATTTTAAAAGTACTTTTTTTGTTATTAGGTTTTTTTCGACGTAGTATCACCAAAAATGCAGTATATCACTGCAAGAATGGTGGCCACTGTGAAATGGACATGTACATGCGTAGGAAATGTCAAGAGTGCAGACTGAAAAAGTGTAAGGCAGTAGGAATGCTGGCAGAATGTAAGTGTTATTATGGACTTTGGGGGTTCTTTTTTGAGGGTGATTTTAGCTTTTCTTACCTTATTGACAACATAATGCATTACTCAAATTATCATTTTGAACATTAACATATTAGTCTAGATTTAAGCTATTTCTCTAACAACTGATAGATTGGGATGACTAGTAATCAATCTAGGTAATTATTTCCATAAACCCTGTTCTACACTATATTGCTCTAATTTTGGCAATAATCATATGTTCTTCTTCATTGGAAATCCTTGTATTTTCATATGACTTAACCTAAGGTTATATAATTTATCTACAAAGAGCAGAATTTTAAATTAGTAGTTCCCCTTCTTTGGTCTTGTATCTTTAGAAGCCTACATGACAAGTAGGTATGTAGAGCCTACTAACAGCTCATAGGTGTCAAAAACCAACTCGAACAGGCAGAAGAGTACTTAGGCTGTTTGAGTTCCTTCTATGTTCACAGTGTTTTTAGCTTATAAATTACATGATATCATGTAATCCTCAGGGTAGTACTAAGATTTTGGCCTTATTTCCTCCTATTTCCTAGGGCTCAAAATGTCATGGTAATTTCAAAGTTCATTTTCTTAATAAAGTATTAGTGTTTTCATGCTTAACCTAGCCTTGCTCAAACTCTTATCTTGCAGTCTTTCTATTATATTAATTTTATGGCTGCTTCTTCATTATCTCTTTTTTATTTTCCTTTAACTGCTATGATAATATTCTTCAATTTTTATTAAGTTACACTCCTGTTCAATAAACACCAATGTAATGATCTGTTTATATTACATTGCTTATTTTAATAAAATCTTAACTCTTTATAGCTTGACCAAAAGGATTCCTATTATTTAAAATTCCAGGGGTGGGGGCACCTGGCTGGCTGGATTAGTTGATAGAACATATGACTCCTGATCTCAGGGTTGTGAGGTTGAGCCCCATGTTGGGGATAGAGATTACTTAAAAATATTAAAAAAAAAAATTCAGGTTGGAGTCGATCTTAAGGTCGTCTTGTCCAACCAGCTGAATCCTTTACTTTATCTCTGTCTGAGACTGCTCAGACTGCCATAACAAAATACCATTGTCTTGTTTTATTAAGAAAAAAAGTGACTTAGCTCATTTAACAAAATCACAAAATATTTCCTTGACTTTATATAAAAAATCAAAGAAAAAAGCTCAGAGATAAAGTAGTTGAACTTCTATATCAATTGATATTCTATGTTGTTTCCATGATATAATGTAGAAATTTCTCTAATATAAAAGGTTTTGGGGCGCCTGGGTGGCTCAGTGGGTTAAGCCTCTGCCTTTGGCTCAGGTCATGATCTCAGGGGCCTGAGGTCGAGCCCCGCATCGGGCTCTCTGCAGGGAGCCTGCTTCCCCCTCTCTCTCTGCCTGCCTGTCTCTCTACTTGTAATCTCATTCTCTCTGTCAAATAAATAAATAAATAAAATCTTAAAAAAAAGGTCTAAATTTATGGTTTGGAGATGCAAAATTGATTTTTAATTTATGTGTAGGATGACTGTATACTTTTAAGTAGAGGGTAGTTATGGAAGGAAAAGAAATTAATGTAGTAAATTTAATTGCTGTGTACATGCTTGCCAAAAAAGGAAAGTTCTTTGTGAAAAGACAAGTCTATGATAATATATGTGTACAGTATAAGAACATTTTCATTAAATCCTATAATGTTATTTGCTAAACCTAAAACATCTTATTTGAATTTCATAATATCACAGGTTTGCTCACAGAAATCCAATGCAAATCAAAGAGACTTCGAAAGAACTTTAAACAGAAGAATAGTTTTTACTCTAGCATCAAAGTGGAAGAGGAAGGACTAGACAACAAGCTTGTATCATCCACTAGAGCTGGAAAAATGGTAAGACTCTTATAAAATTTCTTGTTTCTTTAATGATGACATGTGTTGCTTAATACAAATTCATTATAGTTTTCCCCCTATGTTTTCTTATAGATTAAGGAGAGTATGGAACTTACTCAAGAGGAACATCAGCTCATTAATAACATTGTGGCTGCTCATCAAAAGTATACAATTCCTTTAGAGGAAACAAAGAAATTTGTATGTGTTCATTAATGGGGAGAAATAACTTATAACTAATTATTTTAGAAAATAAGGGCATAAACATGAAAGTTAAACATTTAAACAGTTAGTTGAAAGAAATAAAATCCATTACTCTTATTTCTTTTTGTTGGCTAGCTGCAGAAGTATGTAAATCCTGAACTGAGCTTTTTGAGACTCTCGGAGACAGTGGTCCTACACCTACAGGGGTTAATGGATTTTACCAAGGGACTCCCAGGTAATCACTTTATGACCTTTGCGAAAAAATCAGTTTCATACTTAATTTTTAAAAAGTTCCCTGTTTTAAAGGAAGGGGACATTTTAGGAAAATAAAACCTCTGTTTTTCCACCAAAGCTGTTCATTTTGTATGCTTTAAACAATCAGGTGTGGTTGATTAATCATCCCACTCTTGATTTTTGCTCAAGTCATAATCTCAGGGTTGTGAATTTTAGCCCCACCTTGTGCTCTATGCTGAGTGTGGAGACTGCTTAATATTCTCTCTCTCCCTCTGCCCCTCTGGACCTCTTGTGCACTCTCTCTCTCTCTCTCTCTCTCAAAACAAAATAAAACAAAAACAATCAGATGATTAAAATATTCATATTTAAAAACATTCAAATGACTCCAAAGACTTAGTGCAAGACACGATTGATTGTGTCTTTTAATGTTTTGAAATGAATTGTTGTTTCTGAATATAAAAATAAATCAAATAAAATTGTATAATATGAAAAAAATCAAGCTACAGTTGGCTAAAACTTAATTATATGCACAGATAACTCACTGTAAAAGTAAATTATTTGAGGCTAAACTGACTGTGTTTAATTTGCTTTTGCCATATGAGAAAGTATTATTCTCTATTTCTGGTGAGAGTGCTCCAAAATATTACCATGCAGAATCAAGAATTTTGTTCATATTTGTAGTTATGGATCTTGATTATTCTAAGGAAACAGGATTCACATTATAACTAAATGAATAATTAAAAACATTAAATCTTATGCCTGAAAATTACCTCTTCATTACTCATTTCAAACAATTATGTGATCTTTTCTTCAAGGATTTGAAAATTTGACGGCTGAGGACCAGACTGCATTATGCAAAGGATCAAAAACTGAAGTGATGTTCCTTCATGGGGCCCAACTTTACAGTCAGAAAGAATGTCTTTCATCAGCTTCTGAAAGTAAAAAATGTCAACCAACTCAATCTTAATGTTAACGGTTACTATTAAACACAGCAAGAAATTACATAACATCATTTTTTATTATATTTTTATAATAAATATTATATTCTCGCTTTACTAGTTAGTATAAGTACTTCAGGATAGCTTTTCCAATTCATTGATCTAGCTTTTGCTTTTCTTTTAAAGAAAACCTTTTTTTTTTCAATTATATGTCATCATGGAAAACATTTTTGCAGGGTTTTCTACATGAAATTTATATAAAATCTGAACTACTTATCTCAGTTCATGTTTCAGGAATAAAAATTATAAAGCTACCATTTGTTGGGAATATTTCCTGTCTAATAGATTAGAGAGATTGGATTTATTATCTGTATAAAGATTTTTTAAAAATCAGACTTTTTATTTTTCCCTGTTACTAGGTCCTATGAGAATATCAGATCGTTCAGATCATTCACTGAATTTTCCCAATCAGAGTGATAATAGAAGTGTTATTTATTCTATGGAAACATTTTGCAATGAAGACTGTCCACCTACTACACTGACTGGTAATATTACATACAATACAAAATATTATATTGGATGGGAAAATTGGTCAGATACAATGTTTCATTTTATTATTCTGCTTTGAGAAAAGATGGTAAGGCAATATGTTTGATTATGCACTATTGTCTGAAAAAAATATATTTGATATTAATCTTTTTAGGTATTGCTGAAGAATTTATTACCACATTGTTTTACTTCTACAGAAGAATGAGTGAACTTAATATTACTAATACTGAATATGCTCTGCTTGCAGCAGCAACTGTGTTTTTTTCAGGTAAAAACCATTCAGAAATATGTATTTAGATTATGTTTGGCAATCAAATCATGATGTCTGTGGTTATTATTCACTGATGCCAAATGTTAACAACTTTATTTCAAAATTTTCTCTTTGAGAGAATTCGCTTCAGCTTATGAACATGCTGTAATTTCTTGCATCTTAGAAAAAAGGCTTCTTGACCTCTAATCGCTTTCAGCTATTTTCCCATTTCTCTGTTCTACTCTACAGAAAAACATTTTTTTTCCTGTGTACTCCTGCCTTCATTCATCTCATCTCATTTACTCCTGAACCCACTGCAGTCAGATTTTTGTCCCCTTCTCTCCATTCTACCATAATTTGTCAAAGACTGTCAGTAATCTGGCACTGCTGATTCCAGTTTTCAATTCTTAGTCCTCATTGTACTTGACCCATCCGCTTCATCTGGAAGAGCAGATCACTCCTCTCTTGGAAAACTTTCATCACTTGGCTTCTGTTGATCATTCCCTGGAAAACTTTCATCACTTGGCTTCTGTTGATCATTCCCTCCTTCTAGACATTTTTCCCTCCACTTGAATTCCAGGACATCACACTCTCTTGATTTTCCTCCTCAGTGGCTGATTTTTCCATTTCCTTTGTTGATTTCTCCTTATCTCCCATGCTAATAAATGTTGAGTGTCCTAGAGCTCAGTTCTCTTTTCTTCTACACTTACTTCCTTTGAAATTTCATCCTATGTCATGGCTTTAAACACCATCTACATGTTGACAAGTCCCAAAGTTATATACCAACTTGGACTGCTCCCCTAAGCTCCACTAAATAGTCTACTCAAGATTTCAACTTGTAGTAGACATATCAAATTTAACATCTCCCAAGGTGAACTCCTGAACTTTTCACTGATCCTCCTATATTCTTGCCCTATCTTTACTAAATGTCATCTCCATCCTTCAAGTTACACAAGACAAAATTTGTGAAGTCATCTTTCACTACTTTCTTTCTCTTATACCCTGTCAAATACGCAACACCTCTTCTTGGCTTTAGACTCTAAATATATCCAGAACTCAACCACTTTTTACTGTCTCTGTTCCGGCCACCCTAATGCAAACTATTAACTTCTCTTGCTTTCCTGTTTCTGCCCTTGTCTCCCCAGAGTCTATTCTCTATATAGTAGCCAGAGTTACTCTTTTAAAACATAAGCTAGGGACGCCTGGGTGGCTCAGTTGGTTAAGCAGCTGCCTTCGGCTCAGGTCATGATCCCAGCGTCCTGGGATCCAGTCCCGTATCGGGCTCCTTGCTCGGCAGGGAGCCTGCTTCTCCCTCTGCCTCTGCCTGCCACTCTGTCTGCCTGTGCTTGCTCTCTCTCTCTCTGACAAATAAATAAACAAAATCTTAAAAAAAAAATAAAACATAAGCTAGATCATTTCATTTCTCTGCTCATAACTCTTTTTTTAATTTAAAAAAATTTTTATAAACATATAATGTATTATTAGCCCCAGGGGTACAGGTCTGTGAATCGCCAGGTTTACACATCCACTCATAACTCTTTCATGGTTTCCTGTTCTACACAGGTAAAAGCCAAGTTCTTTCTGTTATTGACTACTACTTTCCCTTTTGCTTATACCACCACAGCCACATTACTTTTGATACACATGTTACTTGAAAATGTCAAGCAGGCTCCTGCCACAGGTTGTGTTGTATCTGACAAATATGCTTAGAAAGCTCTTTCCCCAGATAATTACATTCTTCCCTTCTTTATCTCCGATCTCTGTTAAATGTCATCTTACCTCTGGATTACCCTTTTAAAAATAGCAACTGCCCTTCCCCCTAAATTCTTATTCTTTCTTCTGTTTATTTTTCTCTATAACACTTATCATTGTCATATTATTTATTTATTTATTTAAAAAAAAGATTTTATTTATTTATTTGACAGAGAGAGATCACAAGTAGGCAAAGAGGCAGGCAGAGAGAGGGAGGGAAGCAGGCTCCCTGATGAACAGAGAGCCTGATGTGGGGCTCAATCCCAGGACCTTGGGATCATGACCTGAGCCAAAGGCAGAGGCTTTAACCCATTGAGCCACCCAGGAACCCCCCCCCCTTTTTAAATTTAAAATGTGTATATATCTCTTTTCTTGCCCACTCCTCCCAAACTCAGGGTAAAAGCTTAAAGAGGACAGGAAATGGTGTCTGTTATGTTTGCTGCTATGTCTCCACCACAGTGACTGGATAAATAATTGTTGCCTACCCATTCAGAAATTCTTGGTTGGTTCTTATATTTTATAACTAGGTACTTAAGAAGCTTACCTTTTGCTTCCTGTTCATCTTGAGGAAATTAATCTTTTTAAATTTCAAATAAGCTTGAAAGTTTTTCTTGTACTCTTACAACCACTTACTGACCCTTCTCTTCCTATTTGACTTTATTTCTCTACCTCATAGAGTGCTATGAAGATTAAATAAGATACTATATGAAGTTACTTGCATAATATCTTGCATACATTAAGGGTTTGGTAAATATTTGTTATTTTTATTATTTACAAACTGTATTGTTTTAAATTAATTATCTTCTACAACTTTCCAGTATTCATTAAGATATATATGATGATGTTTTTCAGATCGTCCATACCTTAAAGATAAGCAGCATGTGGAAAATATACAAGAACCCATTTTACAAATTTTGTACAAATATTCAAAAATTTATCATCCAGAAGACCTACAGCATTTTGCTCATCTCATAGGGAGGCTCACTGAACTGAGAACACTGACTCACAACTACTCAGAAATACTTAGCACCTGGAAAGCAAAGGACCCCAAATTGGCTAGTTCACTCTTGGAGAAATGGAATTTGTATTCACATTGTTGAAATTTAAAATGTTGTGGTTTGTCTTAAAACTTTCCCAATCTAGATTTTTGACTCTATCATCATAGGATGACTGATTTGAAAAACAAACAGGTTTGCTAGGTAACCAATATATCACCATAAAATGGATGTCATCAGTGCTCATCAAATTTTGTGGAATATAGGACGAACCACTAGAGGGACATCTAGGATTCTTTTCAAGATTTTACTCAAAAGAAGCAATGACTATATTGTTACCGTATGGTTCCTTCAAAAGGGAATAATGTTAAATAGAGTTCTTACCTGAAAAAACTTTACTTTTTTCCTTTAGTAGAAAAACTGAATGAAAATATATAGATTATAGACATGAGAAAGGCTATCTAGTGGAAACAATTGTAATCAGAATAAAGGTAGTTTGTGAAACTCATTAATTAGGCCAGATTGATGGATTAAGAACTAACTTTCTAAACTTATTCCTGTTATAGCATTTTATGAATTATTAAAGGGGAACAAAACTGTTCAACTCTTACTTTTTCTTAACTTAAAAAAAAGATCTTTTTAAGTCCACATTTAAAAAAATCTGTGATGGTAAGATATTGAAAAAAGTTAAAATGACAAATCGTCAAAATGTTTTAACATACACTGGGAAATTTAGCACAAATTACTACTCATTCTGGTAGGCAATATTTTGACATTTTTGCCAATACCTTTTGTAGAAAAAATGAAGTTTTTAAAAACTGAAATCTTTCCACAGATATTTTAATCCTTGTATGGGTAGAAAGGCTATTTAGTAAAAATAAATTCTATGTGAAGTATATGAAATTGAGAAATTCTATGCTGGCAGTATTGTTTTGAAAGACTGGGTGTAAGTAAATAAAATACTGTGAATTTAAGTTAATTTAATCCTAGGCATAGTAACATTTTGGTTTTCAAGACAGAAAAAAAGACCATAGTCCATTTTATTTTTTTAGCTATAAAACTTAAAAAAAAAAAACTGGAATGTTGAATTTATATCCTCAACTTCAAGAATGTCTTATTTAAATTTATTAATTATTGCCCCCACCGGGCATCTTGGGCATAAACCTAGAATCATCTCTTGGAGGTACTATTTTGTCTTTTATAGGGTATCTAGACTGTTTCCTTAAAATGTAAAGTAAAGGACTTAACCTGGATCAAAAATTTTTAAATTTTAGCAGAAACTATGATGTCTCATAGATTAAATTTATACAAAGTTGGATATTTAAAAATATTACTTAAGCCCTTTGGGAAAACATCAATTATAGTACCGGAAGAAGTTAGAAAACAAAGTCAAATGTATTCAAAATGGAATTCATTCTCGTATTGCTCAAACCTAGGTATTTAGTACCACAATATTTATTGTATTTCTCGCCCCAGCTTGAAGCCAAGCAGTCAGACTTCTTTCCCTGCTTACTATTTTAAAAAGCCATCAAATCCTATTAATTTTACTTCCTAAATATACATTTGATGCCTCTTCTCCATCTTCACTGTCACAGCTCAGCTCCTCACACCTTATCCCGCCTATTAAACTCTCTCTCAAACTCTAGTCCGACATGCCTAAGCCATTTTTCATAACGATACATTTTCTTCTGAACTTGATCTTGCCTCCCTTTCTACTCAGAACTCTTCAAGATCCCCATCCATAAAGGCTAAAATCCAAAAGCCTTTGGAAGGCCTCCTATCTGCCAAATCTGCAGCCTCATCTCTTGCCGTTTTCCCACCTGGCCTCACACACCTACGCCAAACTTCTTGGAGTCTCTCTCGTACTAATCTCGCTCACAACCACAGGGCCTTCGCCTGTGTTCTCTAGGTCAGGAATCCTCTTTCCCCATTAACTGTTGGCCCACTTTCTCTCTAATCACTCTCCTATTCTTGAGCGAAGCCGTACGAGAAGCCTAACACCTCTGTGCAGCCTCTCCTGACTCCCCAGGCCACCCTAAGTGCCGCTTTCTCTGTGTTTTAACAACCCTTTCTAAATTACCACCTTTAAATGATTACACCTGGCTGTAATTATCTGCCCATCTGTTTCTTCCCTAAGACTCAATTCTTGGATGACAGAAATGCATTTTTCACTCTCTGCTCCAATCTATCACAGTCCTTGCTAGTTTTCCTTGCATTCTCTGACAATAGCAGAATCTTAAAGAACGTCTACGCAAAGGAAAAATAGAATCCCGCGAAGAATCGTTACCAATGTAAAGGAAAATCTCGCGAGAATTGGGAGCCGGGCGAACTCTCGCAGCTGACCGTTATTTAGCCGTTAAACAGTCGTGTACCGCGCCCTTTCCTGGCTGGCCGCCGAAGGGGAGCGATTTCCCGCCTTTTCTGAGGTTCGGAGGCAGAAGCTCTCATTGATTCTTTTTGCTGTCCTAATAGACAGCAGGTAGCAGTTCGCGTGGGCACCGAGTCCATGGTTTCCCCCTGAATCTTGAAAGGTAAGGGCAGTGGTACGGAGGTCCTTTTTTGACGACGGAACCAGGAGCTGCGCGATAATCTGATTCCGTCAGCACCTGCGGCACCTGCGGCCCTCCGCCTGCGAGGGCTCCCCTCCCCCCTCCCCTCCAGCACCTCCTGGGTATCCGGTAGCCCTCTTAAGAATCTACAGTAGTTCTCGCGGTGGAGTGATGCAATTTACCAGGGCTGGCGGAGGTAGAGCTTTGTTTTCGGGCTGTCACAGTGATGGTACCTCGGACTTTCTGGCTTATCTAGGTCGCCAGCTTGGCCATTGGTGGTGGTAGATGGTGGGAATAACTGTGGGGTGTTTTTACTTTGACTCGCCCAGTGATGTGACGCTGCAGACTCACAGTGTAGCAAAGGTTACACCCACTCCTTTACATAGCATTTGTTGTACAGACCTTGCTTTTAAAAATAAAGCATAAAGAGTATATTAATGAAACAATGTAAAAACACTTTTTCCCCCCCTGCCTTCTGGGGCAATAGATAATTACAACTGGAAGAGAGAAAATGGAAAAGCAAAAGCCTTTTAAATTGTTTGTACCACCAAGATTAAGTAGCAGTCAAGTATCTGCAGTGAAACCTCAGAGTTTGGGAGGAGAGTCTAATTTCTTCAAGGTAAATTTGCATGTGAATCTTGATTTGACTGTTAACTTCAGGTAAGGAGACACCATGTACTTTCTTACGGGTGTTATTTTATAATTTTTTTTTCCTAGCAAATGTGGCCTGATTTACCCAAGAATTTTAAACAAATTTATTTAAAAATTTAAATCCAATTTACTCGTGTTAGCTACAGGTGTACAATATACTGATTTAACACTCCATACATCACATAGTGCTTACCACAAGAAGGATTCTCTTTAATCCCCATCCCCTGTTTTACCCATCTCCCACCCTCCTCCCCTTTGGTAACCATAAGTTAGTACTCTATAGTTAAGAGTCTGTTTCTTGGTTAGTCACTTTTTTCCCCCTCTATGATTGTTTATCTTTTTGTTTCTTAGATTTCACATACGGGTGAAATCACATGGTATTTGTCTTTCTCTGCCTGACTTATTTTACTTAGGATAATACACTCTAGCTCCATCCATGTCATTGCAAATGGCAAGATTTCATTCTTTTTTATGGGTGAGTAATATTCCATCTATAACCTCATCTATAACCATTCATCAGTCAGTGGATACTTGAGCTTCTTCCATAGTTTGGCTATTATAAGTAATGCTACAATAAACACAGGGGTCATACATCTTTTCAAATTAGTGTTTTCATAATCTTTGGGTAAATACCCAGTAGGGAGTTGCTGGATCATAGGGGAGTTGTATTTTGAATTTTCTTTATTTTTAAATTTTTTTTAGGAACCTCCATACTGTTTTCCAGAGTGCTACACCAGTTTGCATTCCTACCAGCAGTGCATGAGGGATCCTTTTTCTCCACAACCTTGTCAATACTTGTTGTTTCTTGTGTTTTTTCATTTTAGCCATGCTGACAGGTGTGAGGTGATATCTCATTGTGGTTTTAATTTGCATTTCTGTGGTGATGAATGATGTTAAGCATCTTTTCATGTGTGTGTTGACTATCTGTATATATGTCTTCTTTGGAGAAATGTCTATTCAAGTCTTCTGCCCATTTTTCAATTGAATTATTTTTGGGTGTTGAATTTTATAAATTCTTTATATATTTTGGATACTAATCCTTTATTGGATATGTTGTTTGCAAGTATCTTCCTCTCATTCAGTAGGTTGTTTTTTTTTAATTTTGTTGATTGTTTCCTTCACTATGCAGAAGATTTTTATCTTGAAGTCCCAATGGTTCATTTTTGTTTTTGACTTGACTCAAGTTTCCCTGACTCAGGAGACCTATCTAGAAAAATATGATTATGGCCATTGTCAGAGAAATTACTGCTTGTGCTATCTTCCAGGATTTTTATTACCCAAGAATTTTCAGTAATATTGCCTGGAATGACTGATAAGCCTATGTAATATTTGTAAGCATCTTTCGTTTAAAAAAATAATCACTGGTTATTTGGAACTCTGGATACATAATAAATCCTGCTTATTTGAATCTTTCCTCTGTCCTTAAATGACTTGAGGCAATTTGTAAGACATATACAATGAAATAGCAAGATACAAAAACATGTTAAGAGAATATTAGGGTCGAGGAAAAAATAAGAAAATTTGAACAAATATGTCAAAATACTGGTAAAAATTAGTGTCTGACTAAGCTTAAAATTTGGCTTTGAGTCACCTGGTTGTGAGGATAAAAAGAGAAATTCACTTATATAATAGAGTTCTTATCAGAAAAGAGGAATTATACCAAATTTCTCAGGTTAAACAGCTTTTACTGATATTTTAAAAATTTCTCTGTGGAGCTTTATATTGGAGATGGAATGAAGCAATGAATATTTCAATTTTATATGCTGTAGAAAAATTCCTATGGTCTCTATAGCTAATAGTGTAATACTAAGATGCTATTCAGTGAAGACAACTCTAAGTTTTATCAAGGGAAAGATCATAGTGAAATTGAAGAAAACTAATATATTAAGCTACTAATTAGAATTA